GCCAAAAGTTGGCTATTTCGACGGTGGGACGGTCGGATTTTGTCAATGTCAATAAAATGCCAAATAATCATACTTAATTTGTTAAATACTGGAGTTAGAAGAAAAATGCATAGAATTTTTCTTTGTAGAGGATGTCAGTGCCTACAAAGTCTGTATAAAAAGCTTTTCGCCAGCGTCAATAATTAATTGAATATTTCCTTCTATACTTTTTAGCACGTAGCTATTTATTATTAGCATTGTTCTTCCGATGTGTTATTTCTTTTTAATTATGGGAAATGCATTTTTCTAAAGTACATAAACTTTTTGGATTGATTGTATAGCCAATACATCCTTAAGCAACTTTTTCAATTGTCATAAATTATCAGCCGTGTTCACAGTACCGTGCCTAAATACAATTTGGAGGTAACTACGAGTCCAACTAGGCTACGTCTATTACATCGAAGGAGAGAATCGTGCCAGGTGTGCGATAAAAGAAATAGGGCAAAGGAAAAGTAAAATCGAACCACAATTATACGATCAGCATGCATGCACAAAAATCTTCATGGAACTTCTAAATATGAACTCCCATGTATGCGATATCGTTTGATAATGCTGATCAAATTACTATCGCTAACATTTTATAGTTCAAACATGAAACATAATGTCTTGTAATTCTGATCATTTTTCGATCAGCATATTTGACTGTGCTAAGCAAACTAAAAATGTGCTTACAACATAATAACATAAATGTGAAGTACATTGTATTTTGGATGTCAAAGTCACCCTAAAACAAGATTCACGGTGGCTTTGACTCACTTGGCTAGCATATTCAGCAACGCGAGCGATGTATCTGGGTCTGGCCTGAGAGGTGGACTCAGAACGTGAGCAGCGGCGTGTTTCCAGCATTTATGCGCGTAGTTGGTACCATCTGTGCCAATCGCGGCTGCCAAGGTCTCGCCGAAGACGCAAACGCCACGCTTACGCGCGGCATCCACAGCTTCTGCGGCGCTACGACTCATCACATGCACTACATACAGTGGACAATTGACCTAAGCATGCAGAATCATTATGAACACAAGTCGTCTCCGTCTGTTCAAACTCTTTTAAACCCTAGCTTCTTAAAGGGTAATTGTTTTTCTCTTAAACGAGTGATCGAATCATTAAACAATCGAAGTTCAATGCATTAGATAACAAAAAAGGAAGCGTATGACCGTTGACGCGCGATTCTACAAAGTGCTACGACACATGGACTCTGAAAATAGCGGTAAGTACTGAGAACAGCAAAATCGAGCACACTAAATAAATATAAAGTGCTAAAAATAGGAACACACGCATATTCTCCAATCTTGTGGACCCTTACCTGACTCGCTATCACACAGGCTCTATTCACAGCCTCCGCCTCGACTTCTTCGGGACGCGACATTTCGTGACCTTCCGGCCCCGTGACTCCGGCTGCGAGCAATCGTTTCGTGTTCTGAAACAGTTTCGATCGCTGCCCAAATCTGCTGGAGAAGATTCGTGACGGTGCACGTAGTAACGATATGTTCGTGTCTATTTTCGCCAGGCAATAGAGCACCAAATACGGTAACGGTTGTTTCAGCGCAACGTATTGCTCCACCCGTTCCAAGGATGATTATAACGATTACCGTAAATCACGTCCGTTTACCTCTGCAATAAGATCGCCGTTTTCCGCATGAACCATGGCGATGGCGCCCAACTCCTTGCACGCTTTGAACGCCTCGATCAACTCCGGGTCCTTCAGCATATACAGGCCCTTGTAGGCCATGAACATCTTAAAACTATTGACGCCGTGAATGTTCACAAGCGTGGCCATCTCCTCTTTGACCTGTAACAAATAAAGATGAACACGATCGTAAACGGAACGGAGTCGTTTCAAACGGACGTGGAACTCGACAAGCGCCGGCAAATAAGGACACGACGATTTACATGCATCCGTACCCGGCTCGCTTGCGATTTCCTCACCGATCGCTCGGGTATTCCATTCACGATCGCGATTACAGTTACAAAGCAGTCGCGGCTGCAGATACCAGTTTCGTACGATTTGCCAATTTGCCGGGAGATTTGTTTCGTCATATTTAGGAGCGAGCTGTATGCTCCAATCGGTCGATCGTATCGATCTAGGCCAGAGCTTCGCAACGATTGATCCCGGTATTTACCGATCTAAAGGTTACGATAAAGCTAAAGATTACAGGTACGCGCTGTTACGATGTGTTTGTTAATTTCATCGCCGATTTCAATCGTTTAATTGACCATTAACGCTGGACAAAAGAAACAATCGGAAGGAAGTTAAGCGTAACGCGTCCTCTAGCCATTTCCGATAACCATCAACGAATTACGTAAATTCTATTTGCGATTCGAATATTACCGATCGTTATTCTGTAATAATGCAGGCGTGTTTAACTCGGATAATACTGCTGGCCGTATAAATGCGCAAGAAAGAGGTCACTAAGCGTGCTTTCTTTTCCAGGAAGGTCTCGTGTTACGGAAATTATCTCATTCCCGGCGACTAAATAGAATAGAGAATGCGTGTGAATGGTATTATACCGGCTCCGTTTGATGTAACCATTTCAATTCGCGACTGTTGTACGTCATTAATTACTTGTTTTAACATCGTTACGCCATAAAACACGGCTTGGGTAGACGAAATTCTACTCCATTACAATGGTACCATGAAAAAAAAGATGTGAGTCGATCCGTTCGTGAACTCACTTTTGGACTCCAAGATGTAACGGCGACGTGGAGCGAATAATCGCAGCATACTTTCTGATCGGCCGTTTCCCGGTACCTCTCGTATGCCTCCAATATAGATTCGTCGTTTCTAGGAATCACGAAGTCGATGATCATCGTAGTACCACCGGCGACAGCTGCTTTGGTGCCCTGGTAAAAATCATCGACTGACTTGGCACCCATCAGCTCCAATTCGAAATGGGTGTGCGGATCTATGCCACCGGGCATCACATATTTCCCGCGAGCGTCGATGATCCTCGTGCCGCCCGGTATTATCAGATTGCGGCCCATTTGTCTAGAATTTAAAAATAGAATTTGTTATGACGCAACAGGTGCATTAAACATTTAGCGCCGCGGTTCATATCGATCTATTAAATATCTCGGGAAATCTTCTAACTCGTGACTTTTATTTTCTCTTTAAAAAATAAAGCGAACCGTTGGATTACTACATATTTACACGGCGCGTAATTAGAGATAGGCGATGATCGGATCTTTAAACTATCCATTAGGCGGTGCATGTCACGCTTGTTTGTCAAATTACAGTTATTCTTTATCAACGTAGCCCATTGATAAATTGGACGAGCTGTATCGTGGCTTGCTCGCGTAAAGTGGCGAACAAACACGCGACCGAGTAGGAAGTAGAACGTTGAATGAAACGTCGATCGTTCGCAAATCAGAAAGTCTGTCTGTCTCACAAACGTTACTCTCGAAGCGTCGCTTAGATCATACGCGTCGGCGGTTACGCAAGTGGTCAGCAGAACGTGAGGCGTGAGAGACGTTGAACGGAGAATCGAAATCCGGCGGAGTTCCAGTTCTTTGCGAACGCGCGACGCGTTTTCGCGTTCAAGGACGTAATTACACGCGCATAGTGATCGCCAGCGCAAACATATGCAAATGCGGTTGAACCTTACTTGATGATACCGTCTTCTATGTAGATGTCGTTGTCCGTCATCCCATCGTCATTCACCACCTTACCGTTTTTGATCAACAACCTATTCTGCGCGCTCTGGAAACAGATATAGATCATTTCATGATGTTTGTCTCAGAACAAAACCGCAGCTCATCGCAATGCTACCGAGTGATAAAGGATACTCGCACGCAAGTAGTATATTATATTACTCATGTATTATTACAACGATTAGATAAGACAAACTTGTTGATACGTTCTATCGCTCAGTTTAAAAATGTTATAAATATATCGCTACATATATTTCTGTTATCAATACCATTGATGCGACGAATAGCGTAATAGATAGGGGAGGCAAGTATTAATTTTCCAGTTGACATCAAACTTCAATAGGTTACTCGTTCACCCACTCTCGGATGAAACGCATTTCATCTACTGAGCTATGCAATAATTTATGTTTATTATCTACGTACATAAGCACGTTATTACAAGAGTGTAAATTAAGAAGGAAGGATAAACCCAGAAGATTCCCATCCGTCTCGCACAAAAATTGCTCCTCATTGAGAGAGAGCTAAACCCCCCGCGTACTGTCCTTGATATTCGTTTGCAACGTGCGTCGGATCCAACATCCGGTGCAGACGATTAACGTGCGTATATCGCCGCCACGCTATGGTATACCAATCAGTATATAATAGAAGCTACGCTTCACGCACTTCCGCCAATGCTGGATTTAGAGCAGTACACCCGATGTGCCGCGACTGATAAAGTGGCCGCGACCCCGTGGCGTTCCGCGATACATCTTTCCATTCGAAAGAGTACAGATTTCACCCGGCGTTCCCAGCGGCACGGAAAATGCACCGTTTTTCGCTGATCCACTTCGGACATTACCATACAATCACACTCGGGGACGTTACCCGCCGCGTGTGCGCCATTTCCGGAGGTAACAAAGAAACACAGCTATTTCTCAACGCTTTTCACGCTTTTCCGAACGCAAATAGATCCGATCGTTTCAGATAATGAATAATGCTTGCGTTACACGTAAGTTTTGTTCTATGATTCAATCTGACTTCCGTTCCTTATTTATGACCATAGCGAAGCTCGATGCAATGAAACTATTGAAATATGGGATGTGTAGTTAAATGAAATTCGATGATATTAAATTCTTCTCATCGATACATTTTTGCTTCATGATATAGGCTGTCTCAGAAGTATTCATCGAACAGAAACAAATTTCTTAAGAATCGGCGAATCAACAAGCAAGGAGTACCATGATTAAGAATGAAGATCTTGACCTGACCCGCGGTGAAGCGTAAAGAACCGCAGACAAAACGCGCAAACATTGTCCCCTTGTGTGGAGTAAATTGAAAAGAGCCAGAGAGAAAGAAGCTGCATAAAGGACTTTCGACAATCCCTTCATCCAGGCCCTTCCCTGTCCGAGGAAAGATAAAAGCACATAGGGGAGAGAGATCGGAGGGTCCAAAGAGGAGGGTACTGCGGAAAAAAGGACAATCCATCGCTGTCGCCGACGCCACCCACGTTTTATAACCGATCCAGGGTGCGCACCCTTACGCACTCGCTAATGCAACGCGCGCTGCAAGAAACCCTTCGCGAGGTCTCCACCCCGTGAAATCGTTCCGAAACCCTCCATGAGTCTAAACCAGTGTGAATTGTGCGTGGCTTTCGTGAAATCGATCCCAATCCTCGCCCTCTCCAAAGTATCGCCGCGAGGTGTAGTTCGTTAAATCGGATTTGGCTATTAAAAAGGGGTCGTCAAACGTTTCGACGCATGTTTACACTCTGTTGAAACAATTATGGTGTTTTCCTAACGGGAATGGATGGCCTTAGGCGCGAACCGAAAGGAACGGAACAAGTATCGAGAGCGAATAACGTCGGCACGGTTCACGTGGGCATAAACCTTGTCATCTTCGCAGTATAATTATTATTGGTCACGAGCGTGAACATGTGCGTTTCATGTGTTGGTTAGAGGATCTCTGACTTGGATATTTTCAGCAGACAGTGGCTTAAAATATACGTTCTCTGCCCGGCGGCGTGATTTTTCAGAAAAGAAATTCCACCGTCACAGACGTGAGTCCACTTTGAGATACTCACCATGAATTTATAGTTCCGCACAAAATATTTTCCCTCTGCAAGGATCAAATATTTCAACGAACAAGTTTAACACTTTTGGCCATGACCTCTTTACACGATCGAACAAACCAATGAACGAAGATTAAAGTAACGCGTCGAACGTCAGTTTCGACGTACACTTACTTAAAATTATGCCTGGACCAACTGATAAAGAACTAGCAAAATCACGGGGATGCCCCGACGGATCTTACCCCCAGAAATACGCTCCTGTTAAAATCGATGTCCTCTACACTTCACTCTGCATGCTACAAGTTTTTCTCTACCAGGGCAAACATCGCTTAAATTAAAGATCTTATCAATCAAATGCATTAGTTCTTCAATCCTGATACGATCGTATCGATAATTCTATTCCCATCCCACTGTGTACATAAATGATAACGTACCGATATACATTTGAAAAGTCTTTAAATGTGTGTCGATTACGATTCGATGGCCGCTGTAAACTTTCATAGGCTTATGTTTTCTCTTCTAGTTGCTCTATTCGGATACATTGTGAGATGGTAAATCCTGCACAGTCGCGTGCATCGAAACGTCGCTCGTATCGCCGCGTTCCAGTTCGTGGCTGATCCAATTAAAAGGCGATTTCTTTTTTAATTGCGGTACGTAGCCCATTCGGCGCGTGCTAACGCCGAGGAAATTGATAATTAACCGCTTTCACAGTAGGAAAAGGATTTTCCTCCGTCTTTAAGGAGCGAAACTCGGTTTCTATCACCGGTTTTCTTTGTCAATGTAGATTGTAGACGGAGAAACTGTACACATGGGGCCGGCCGGTTCATCGCTGACCGACCGGACGCACACGGTGGCCGGTTGACTCGGCAAACATTCGCCTAAGCTAAATACAAGCACACACACACGCACACATGTCACCTTTTAAGCCGGACAAACGAGCCTCGAAGGTGCGCAATAATATTCGGCTATTTAATACGCGGATGCAATCTAAGAGTTAGCGGTAATTATGTAACGTTACATAATCCGATGCATTCTTCTTTAGAACGACGCTGCTTAAATTCAAATAACGGAATTCGCATTAAACTAATGTACGACACGCTGTATCAAGTTTACGATGATGTAATCCTGGATTTAGCTCGTAGGCCATTAGTTTAGTAATTAAACGAAAGTAATAAAGAAGCTAAGTAATAAGTTTTGATATAACAGAGAATCGAATGTATCGCTAAAACGAATATGTACGTATATTTGCCTGAGGAATGAGCTTGCTAATCGAATAATAAAATAAAAACAAAAACGAAACACAGCCCGACACCGATACGGAAGGCTGCTCTAATTTCCATTCGTGATAAACTGCCACGGAAACGGCGGCGGTGGTTTGCACCTGGCTTCCCAGAGCCTATTTATGTCACGGGAATAATGCTGGTAATCTGCATTTCTGTTGACCGACTTCCATTCGACTAAATTTGCCGTCAAGTTCTCGGTGAGGCAAATAGACGAGAAAATGAGTACGGGCGCGTGTGGAACCACTTGTCGTCAACGGAAGTACAATCAAAATTTAAGAAGACGCAAAGGTCTGACTCTTCCACTGAAGACTTAATTAAAGCTATTCAAATTCTGCATATGCAGTACATTTTCCACGCTCTACAATCAAGTACAAACATATAAAAGAAAAAAGTAATTAAGTAGTCAATAAAGTTGTCAACAACTGCTTCGACTTCCCATCAGAAAGTCTCTTCAGAAAGAAAGCATCAAACGAGTCTTCCCGACTCTATTCGGCGAGATAAAAAGCAGTGAGCAAAAACATCGGTCAACATTCACAGTTTATTTTTGCTCGCGAAAACCGCCTGGTCCCACAAGCGGCTCGCAGAAACGGTAAACGGTGGAAGAGAGAATCCACGTTTCTCAGTAGATGTTAACCGTCGACTTTCAAGCGAAAAAATCGTGCTCGCTCGCTCGCGAGAGTGATATCCGTCCACAGTGGTTTTTCCAACTTCGGGTCGGACGCAGTAGTGTCGACGAACTATTGATTCGCCGCCGGTGTTCCCGGCCTCTATCCGGCACGCGTCCCAGTGCCGTACGATTTTCCCAATCCCGCACGAATTACAGCCACGACTGCCTATCTATTAACAAAATCGACATACTATTTCCCCATTATCGATTTTGTGAAGTTCCACGATCGGCCAATATTAGCCGCTCGAAATAGTTCGCGTAAACTTTTACTGAAACCGAACACGCGATACTTGATATAATTAGACTATCATCTCTGTTCAGTTTCGTGATAGATCACGGATTAGGAAACTCTTACGTATTGTTGTCTAATATGTTTCACATAATTAGAAATATATATCATAATATTATCATTCCTACTCGATCCATTGTGTCGTGAATGATTACCTATTGTCTATTTGGATAACTTTCTCGTTCCCATATTAATAGGTATGCGAAAATAATTCGTAATAGAAATAACTTTCGATGAGAGTATTCAGACTAAAATACAGGATATGTGTAATATAGATATTCTGCGGACGATTTAACTCTGCTGCTGCGCGCAATGGAATGGTAATCCTTCCACGAAAGGCATATCGCGAGTACAGATCTACTATTGTAGCGTCTCGATTGAATAGGAACATCATGTTGAATTTCATACATTGTACACAGGGTGGGCACCTCTTTCGCGAGGTAGACCGGTGCCGGGAGCCAAGACGCCCCTCAGATCAATAAGGCAGCAACCTTGCGATAGGATGGTGCGACGAAACTTTCGGTTTTAATAGTGACGCAGAAACACCGGCACCTATCTCTCCACCCATATTTACTTTCCGTTATAACGCGCCGTATGCCTAACACTAGACGTTCAAATGTTACATGTACGCATCCGACGTTACATTTCATTATTTAAGTATCGATCCCTGTCATCACCTGCCGTACAGAACGATGGAGATGGAATGGAGATTAACCGACACAAATGTCTGGAGTAAACAAGTTATACGGCTTCCCTAGATTGCATCGTAGTTATAACAGTAAAGACGCTGTCTAGCAATTATGTTCACGCTTTTATCAATTGTAATTTATTTGTAAAATCCAACTCCTATATCGATCGCAAGTTCGCTGACCTTATGCGTAATGTGTTTAAGCTAAAATTATAAATACACAAAATTATTGTTACACATAAGTACTTACGATGTAGGAAAGTCATCGGAAAAGTGCAACGTAATAGAGAGAATACGAATATTAGATTAACGGTTATAGACGAAAACAGATCGATATAATAAGGGTTATTCCAGTTGAGGAATCGCACGAACGTAAATAGGTGTACTAGTTTTATTACGTTACTAATGAAAAATTTTTTCATTTACGCACAGTCCGTGAACGTCTATCATGGACGTTTATGGAAACTTACAACTGAACCGAATCATATTTACTCTCTCTCGAGATAGTAATTATCGCCCGATTACTGGTTCAATTTGATTAGTTCTATTTCAGATATCACTGTGTCTTTTGACATCTCTTTTGAGAATTTACTCCGTTGAACACCAAACGCCTATCACGTACGTTACTTCTAGCGAGGATCTACTTTGTTGAATGAAAATATGATTGGTAGATATATTATAAAAGCCCTTCTGATTTTCTCAGATTCAGACGTTAGATATTATAGTACAATGTTGGATAAACCGGTGTCAATCTTCCTATGGTAATGATGAGGAAACGTATTTCATATGTAACTTATTTACGCAGTAATACGTAAACGCGAGACAGCGGTCATTCATGAGACGACAGGGGAATAATAGAGGAAAAATGAAAACAGAATAAATCGACTGACCTGCAGGTGGATGGGTACCTTCTTCACCGGCGTGCTCATCTTCGATCAAAGAAAGGGTCGCGTTGCTCGTAAATGCTAAACACACGACTTTAACGGTCACGCGGTATACTCAGTACCGAGCCACGGGAACGCACTATTTTTGCTCGCGAAAATCGCGTCACACGCACGACGTTTTCCCGTGGTGGAAATCAAAAGGCGCAAGATCGAATCGAATCGAACAATCGACTGCAACTGACGCGACTGACGCTACTAGTACGAGTGCGCGGCGGTGCCGGCGGTGGTAAAATCTCATCCCTACTTCCTTCGTCCACGACGAAGACGGGGGATCATCCCCACTGTAATTCTGCAACACCCATGTGACCGTTTGCAACACACGTGAACAGTGAACACACGTTCAACGAACTAGCTTCAACACTAATACAACCTGTCCTGTGGCTGTCCAATAGGACACTGCATTATATTATGAGTAGATAGCTCACTCTTTCTACGTAGGAAAATTTAATTCCTCCACGAGCGCATGCTAAGTAGATTGGGAATCGTTTTGGGTAGCTGTATGTTACTCGCAAACAAAGAAACATTAAACGATATTTTATGTTATAATTAGTACGAAAAATATTCGTGAAGGTTAAGCCTGTTCCCGCCTAAACGAGACGCGGTACTTCCGTTTAAATATGGCTATTCGTTTACACATGAAGCATGATTTATCCAAAGAGAAAGAAAGTGTATTACATTTAATGCCATGTAAAATCCGTGGTAACGAGCCCGCGAAGGTTTCCGACTTCTTCACACCTTACATTCGTAAAATCGATGATGAACGTAAGCTTGTAAATCGAACTTATTCATGATAGTCAACCGCTGTTCTATAGCCTAACGTCTCTTTAATTGTACTAAAATAGAATGTTTGAAGTCTAATAAATCACAATTGGCGCAGATTATACGTCTTCATTCCGTGGGCACCTCATTCAAGGTAAAAAGATAACTCCACCTTCCGGATACAAAGGGCTTATATTCCGCGAACGTCAGAAGCCAGACAATGAAAATATGGAGCGGAATTTTTACGCTACGAGTACATTCTCCGAATTTACTTATTGGAATTATGATAAATTACCATCGAAAAATGACGCCGTGGTACCTGCCATAGATTGGATTGATATTGCTGAAGCGGTAAGTTTATATACATATGTTTTTTTCTTAGAATGTTAATCACATCTAAAATTATTAATATTATATTAATATTTCGTTCTTAGCTACATTCTACAGAATAATCATAATTAAAATGAAGTGTACCTTAACAACAGACAGAATACTATATTTTTAATGAATTATTAAACATTGTTATATTTTAATATGAAGATTAAAATAAATGGGTGTTTCGTATACAGGTATGTTATAGTTTATTAACCACCATTTATATCATGAGCATATATTTTTGTCATACATAACAGATATCTTATAATCACTTATGACGTATGCAAAACTTTGCAAATAATCTTTGACTTAATTAGGAAAGCTGTGTTTAGAAAGTGTGCAGTCTTTTACAAGATAAATAGTGTCCGTAATCCATCTTCTTATTTTTATAAATATATAAAAGTTGCAGTGAAGGTGAAAGCATTTACTACTTATTTTATGCGTTTAACACAAAAATCTTTTCTTATCGACTGTAATACTATTGAGTGTAAAATGCGTTGCGTCAGTTTTGATACTGCTTACAATGATATTAGAGATTATTACTTATAAATTAATAGTAATTCGTGGTTAAATTGTGTTCAACATGACATTAATATTCAGCTGTTGAATTTGTACAAAATCCATATAAAACGTTTCAAGAACTATTTGAAGAACTATTCAAAGTATGTACGGGCAGTTTTGCAATATATATATTTGCAAGAGGTACATGCATAGTTTCTAATGGAATTTTTTTATACATGCATATAGGAATGTATATAGATAGAAAAGTTAAAAATAATTTTCCTAGTTTCATGTACAATGGCAGTGTTTAAGATAAAACAAGTTTGCTTTTGAATTAATAGAATAATCAGTACTTAAAAGATCAAAATATTTCGAACTGTCTAGTATTAAGATAACACTTATATCTATATGTATACGTGTCCAAAAGAAGTACAGAGTAAATACAATCGTATGTATAATAAATATCATAAAATTGTTCTCAGAATTGTAAAACTAGGCAACAAAAATGCTTGCAACGAAAGACAAGATTTCAATATAAATTAATACAGTTTGGAATCCTACTGTAAAATGGTGTTCTTACTCGTAAATATCTTGTGATCAACCTACAAAATCTATTTACAACTGTATTATATTTCTAATACTCAGCTAATCTAAAAATAGGTCCATCATATATCACTTCACTTCATTGTAGCAAAAGCACCCTAACATTTATTTATAAAATAAGAACGTGAATTCATTACTTTGTGTCGCTATAAATGAACGCAATCACGTTATTCTGCCTAACATCTTACAAAACAAAAATACATTTATAAAGAGATGGTTATCCTTATAATTGCCATACTCCGTATGCATTTTAATCCTTCTATACTTATTAAAGCTAATAATACATAGTAAACAATTCGTGATTTGTTCTACTATTGCACTGCGTTCATTTTGTACCCTGATTTTTAAATATCATTTGTTTAATTCATTTAAAAATTGAATTTGTTAAATATATCCAATAAAAAAAGTGATGTATACGTCCTTAAACACTATCCAATTAGGCTTAATATAATTGGCCAGAATATTTCGAATGCGACTAACTTAATATCTAAATAAGTAAGTTAATAAACAGTCTTATTATAATACAAAATATAATTTGAGTCGATCAGATTTGGACAATTTTTATACAGCTTATACATATACAGCTGTAAACTGAATTTACGTACTATTAGAACCTCTTAACTTTCATAATACTGATTATGAGAATGTACCCAATTCGTTTGCCTGGTCTTGATGATACTTGTTCTGATCCTGTTGTTGTTTAATAAATGCACTTAGTCTGTTAAGAAGAAACTGCTTATCATGACCTTCCAATACTAGCTGATTCTTTAATACCGTGACCATGTGCTTGTTTGCTACTGACACAGCATAATAATAATACAAAAGCAAAGTAATAATTATAAAAGCTGGTACTCCAAATCCGGCAGTACTAAGAAAACGTAATGTGGTTTGCAACCAGTCAGGAAGTTGTTCATCAAACATATCAATTAATAATGACCATACTGACTTTAAGCCTCTGAATGGTCCACAAGACTTTGACGGCACTATTTCTGCGATCGAATAGCCGATTGGTATTGTACACAGAATGAAGGAAATTAGTAGTATCAACATAAAAAACGCATTTAATTTACTTGCCCTGTATACTTTGCTCGACTGAGTACTGTTTACTAGACAAGAAAACTTTTTCACGTAAAACAATAGGAAAGTGCCAAGCACTGCAATTAATGGTAGCAGAGGTGCAAAAAACAGACCGAGCCAACAGATGGTTTGCAAGTAAACCATGTCTAATACGTTTTTAGACAAGTCAAATTCTTGTTCCCCGAAAAATCGTAATACTTTGTTCTCTGTATGTTTCGCTATTAGCGATCTTGGAAAATTGATGAAGAATGTAATAAAAAACTGTAGAAAGATATCAGTGATATAGAGTTTGTAGAACTGTTGCCCCACGAATGTTTCCCAACACAATGGCCGTTTTCTGTCAGTGCATTTATCACCTTCTACGTTGATCACGATTAATCTATAAAACGATGTGAGCAAGACGATCAGAGAAGAAAGACGTAGAAATATAGTACGGATAAGAGTCATACGTATAACAAACAATGGACTATAATGTTCAAGAGTGACCAGATATCGGAAAAGAAATGGTACTATAACGTTTAAAACAACGATACATATGTAAGGTAGAAATTCGAAAAATAAGTAAGCGATTCTATTCAACGTTAAGTACTCTGAACCGTAACGCAGGACATCTTTCGACGAAATTTGATCAAAGGAAAATTCAAATATGTAATAAATGAATGTGCCACAGCCGCCTAATACAGCGAAAACTAATGAATTAATGAGAAAACGCATGAGAAACAATTTTGTCTTTTCTTCTCTCGTACGATTTTGTCTTTCTTCTTCTAATCTCTCAGTTTCTAGAAATGCTTTCATTTCATTGTATAATGCTTTGTGCTTTACAGCTGCGGAGGTTTCGTTATGTATACAGTAATCCCAGCCACCAAAAACTAGATTACAATACTGATAAAATTGACCTTCATTCTCAACTACTCTCTGTTTGAAACTCTTTGCGGCTGACTTAACGATAGCTGTTAAACTAAGAATAAACACACCAATAGTGGCTAAGATATAAGATAATGGCAGATTATAAAGCATACCAGAAGTGTCGAAGGTCAGATGGCTGTATGTTCCATAAAATAGGAAAGTATACTCCAAAATACCAGTACCTTGGACTATATCTGCTATACTATGATATTTTTGAGTTTCATTCAAATATAACTCTGAACAGCAAACAATACTATGACTGTTATTGGCCATTTCGCATTGTTCGGTGTTTGGCATGTCCAACAATATTGATGGTATCACAGTAAATAAAAACATAATTGCAAATAAAAGAACGTTGAGATACATTATCCACTTGATGAACAAGAAGTATGCTACAATCCCCATTCCAAAGTTTCCTCCAATTGTTTTGAGACTGTTATTCCACAATTCCATTTTAGAATACGCTTCCTTCATCCTAATACGGAACTGTTGCCAAACTTTTCTTCTTTGCCATTTTAATTGTTCGAAACCCTGTAGTCTTAATTTTGTTGCACTCTGCAAAATGTATGCAAGATTCTCGTTATTAAACTGTAACCGTGTATGACTCTAACAGTTCTTTATGCTTTCATACATTTACATACTTGTAATTGATTTTTCAACTGTATTTTTTGTGCCATACACACAGGCATAGCTTTGATCTGCATTATCTCTTCCCAAGTTCGTTCTTCATTCGATAGGTTCTCAGACAAATCTGGTAGCATAGACACTGCAGCATCGTGAATATTTGTCGACATACGTCGTGACGTGGTCGTACCACGAGACCTTGTGCTTGTACGTCTCCTCAACGTAGTCTTTGTATCATTTCGTATTCGTTTCGCAGTTGCTATTTCCAAAAATATCAAGTACATAATACGTTTACGTATAAATGTTAATGTATAAACACTATTTATGAACTTACCAACGCGAGACTTTTTACTCGGTAGTAAAGTAGCTATATGAGATGGATCCCTTTGTAGTGCTTGTTGTAAATCCGCTTCAATTGCGGCTGGATAACTCTCCTGATAAAATTCAGCACCTGCTTCTTCCCAGCCCTGTCCTCTGTCACAAGCACGTTTCTTTCGGTCGCCCCCAGACATCTTTCTTTTTTATGAATAACTACAATTTACACATCGAGTCTCTCCCGAGAATCTTGCAAAGGAACAGTAAGAATGAAAGTTATTTACAGACAAACGAAGGAGATGAGCTGCAGCGACAACTGATAATTGTTAATAATAAATATGACATATATGTTCGGAGAACTACCTGATTGTGAGATAAATCACTTGATTAAAATTTTCGCAATTGCATGATTGTTTGATAAGACGTATTATTCTGCTGTATTGGTCATTAATTGATAGCGCGTAAAAGCAACAATACTTTTAAAGAACAAAACACTGAACTTCATACGTCAGACGACATGGATAGATTAGTTCGTTTTATAAACGAAGACGTAGATTATGCGAGATGTTCGGTTTGTTGTATTAAGTCACACCAATATTAAATTAAATATTCCTATGTGACGAAATTTCTGATTTGTCAAATTGTATAAAGTAAAATAAATACAAAGATTCAAGAAGAACACGCACATCGGCATTTTGTTTTCCCATGTATCGCGATCGCGATATATTCAACTAAACCCGTGTAAGTACGAACCATAGTTTGTAGACGGTACGTCAGAATTCAGAATCATGGACGCGTGGACCATGGATTAACAAAAATATAGAAGACACCAAGGAGCGAATTTTGAACACGTTGTTTTCCAAGGTTTAATCGATAAATTCAAAGGAATCTAAGAATTAAACATTTTATATATTTTGTATGCATATAATACATTGTAATATAAGTTACTGATATACGCAATCATAATTTAGTGTATACAATTAAATAATCATATTTAAAGAGTTTTATATTTCTTTCTATTTTACATCACTTTTATGATTGATTTCGACAAAGGTGTTAAACACTTCAACAACATGTGTGTAGCCAGAAAGAAAGAACATTTTCAATATTGAAAAATATTACAAAGTACATCCTACTCACGTAATTAAAGCATAAAAAAATATCGTTTTATATACATACTTCAAATAACATTCTATAACACAACGTGAGGCATACTTCTTGTTAAATATTTATTCGCTAAAATTAGTTATTATGCTTTGTGATGTGAATTCTTTTAATGTTATCATGCATATATGTATTACATAAAAAAATTTCAGTATTGTCGTCCTCCACGACCTCCACCACGATTATATCCCCCTTGATTCCATCCTCCTTGCACTCTACCTCCTCTTCCTCTACTACTGGAACCTCCTCTTTGATATTGTTGTCCACTGTAACTGTTATTGCTGTTGTATCCTCCTCCTTGACCTCCTCCATAGCCTCCTCCTTGACCTCCTCCATAGCCTCCTCCTTGACCTCCTCCATAGCCTCCTCCTTTATTTCCCCCATATCCTCCTGCTTGATTATCTACGTAGCCTCCTCCCTGGCCTCCTCCATAGCCACCACCCTGGCCTCCTCCATAGCCACCACCCTGGCCTCCTCCATAGCCACCACCTTGGCCTCCTCCATAGCCACCACCCTGGCCTCCTCCATAGCCACCACCTTGGCCTCCTCCATAACTACCACCGTGTTCTCCACCATATCCAGTATTAGAAGAGTAATTGGCACCTTGATATCCATCTCCGTAACCACTGTTACTACCATATGAACTTCTATTGTCATTAGAGTAGTTTTGGAAACTGCTACCTCCTCCACGACCACCACCACCACCGCCGCCTCCTCCTCCTCCCCCTCTATTTCCGCCTCTTGCTCCTCCACCTCTACCACCTCCTCGACCTCCACTGAAATAAAAAAAAAGGTATAATTTAGTTAGTCAGTTTACTTTGAATTATTTTTATTAGGCTATTGATTTTATTAATTTATCTAACCCAGAAGTTGAAGGTCCTGGTACCCTATCTTTCTGCCACGGTGGCATTTCAGGTGGTGGTGGTTCCTGTTCATACGGCCTTCCACCTCTATCTGGTACTTCGCCTATAATAACTTTGTTAACTTCGCTTCGAGTATTTTTTCTAACGTTTGCACTGCTTGTTTTTTCCATTAATGCTACATCTTCTCTTGCAGCTAGTAGATCTGCAATCGTTATATTTGGTTCGGCAGTTAAGGATTTTTTTCGGGCGTGTCCGTATAGTTTATGTATTTCAGTGTCTCGAGATTTTATTCTGTCTGACCACTATACCCAAAAATACAAATGGTTCTTAACTTCGTCAGATACAAATAATTCTTTCAAGTTTACTTTGGAATTAAACTTCTGTACATACCAGAAAGGATTGCACTGTTACATCTAATCTTCTTATCAACATGTTACGACGCATTTTATACTCGTCATGCAACTCCTGTTGTACGTGTTCGAGTTCTTTCCAGTCTCCCTCTGAGAATTCATGAGTAAGCAATGGTTGCCCTACAAGTGCAGGAGGAACTATTTTCAGTACTTCGGACAATTTGGTAGTCAGTCTTGAAAAAAGTTTCTCAGGAGTGATATCATCTGGTGGCTTCTCAAAATTTAATGCTACTAACATATCTTTGAGATCCTTGGCTGTGTCACTCTCTTCCTACAAAAGATACATTAAAAACCAACTTAGAGAAACTGTCATAAACTCATTTTGATTCTACCTCGATAATAAAAACTCACAATAAGAACAGCTGTGGGGATTTGTGTTTTATGTTTTCTAAATTCTAACAGTCTGCATGTTTTTAATTCTGCTCCCAAAAAGTCTAGCAAGATATATCTATCTTGTTCATTTGCTAATCGTTCATTAACATTACCAGTCATTAATGTCTCATTAACACATCCTAATTCCTTAAGAAAACAGCTTAATTCTAACAGAAATGAACTAGAGTCTTCCGGTGAAGCTATCGCATGAACAGATTCATCCATATCATTCAGTACTGAGAGTTCATCTGCTAACCATGTCACGAGCTTTGTAAATTCAGGTGACTTTGGGCCTTGTTTCAAGGCCTCTCTAAATTTATTAGGCTCTGTCAGCTCTCCATTATATCTGTACAATAAACATATTTATTTAATAGTAAAACAGACAAAGTGACATTTAAGAAAATATTAAAAATATAGCATCGTAATATCAACGTTATAATGTTCCTTATTATAACCTTCAATTACGTACCCCAGGTTTCTTAATCTTTCTAAGAACTTCAGTTCCATTTCGATACAATCTTCGATGAAATGAAGAAAACAGTGGTTACGGCATATAAAATGCGCTAGGGAAGTAAAAATAATACGTACTTACAATAAATCACACGTGATAATAAATTACATACACCTTCTTTTGCCGAAGTTGCCGAATACGTTGTCAGTGGTTGTCAGTATTCTGTCTGATAGTCAGACTAGGTAGGCTCCTAAAATACCGACGACTAAACGTTTAAAAAAAATGCAAATCTTGTAATACTCATCGCATGTATTATTTTCTTTTTGTTGTTATATTCTAATATAAGGGAACTTTTGTATTTATTCATAACTTTGCACATTCAGTCATATTGCTCTGCACACCGGGCAACTCTTATACTAACATTCGTTTTACTGAAAACTTTGCATTCCTGAAATAATATAGAATTGTACGCAATTTAAATCATACTTATTATTAAGATTTAATTATTTACATGTAACATTCCAACTAGTTCTTCAATTCTTTGACTAATACTTTATACTAAATAATTATACGTATAGATTATTAGTATAGCAGTGCGTCTTTCTAATTTATAGGAGATAGGATAGTAGTTGTAATAATGAGATTGTCTCAAACAAGTTTACGTATAAAAAAAGACTAAAACTTCGATATACATTTACATATATACTTTTTTTATACATTCTTATAAGTACATATCTTTAAGTAAATTAATCGATATAACGAATTATATTCTATAGACTTAAATCGTTTCTCCGAATTGCATCAATTAAATAAAGACACGATCTCATCTTAATTGTATATGTCAAGTACGTAATTTCGTGAATACTTAATGACGCCTATCGCTGTATTTAAGATAATTTGAGCGGATATATCTGAACGTGCAAAAAAAGGACAGCCGATATAATTTAATCGTCATAAATCTCATTCGCATTCTGAAATAATTTGTATACATTATTGCAAAAGCTATATTTATAAAATTATCATGTTCCAAAAATTATATCCTGTTTCCAGTATCGGGTACAAACGTGTTAATAAATACAGTTGTCGACAATTTCTTTTATCTTACAAGTTTGGAAAAATTGGAAGCAGTCTATTTGACAAGATACATTGTTCACACGGGTTTGAATGGTACGCTTTTTACGATAGCGGTGACTGCTGGGTTCAACTTAAAGACTATTCCGCATTCCAGAGGAATTTGTTAGGTAGACTAATTTAATCTAAAGGGCTAACTGGGTTATAGCCGGATGGTAGAGTATTGTGAATCCATCGTCAAAGAAAGCTATACGTATTCTGAATTGCTCGACCGCTAGATGATGACGCGCTTTGTTGCTCTGTAATGTTGTTTTGTTGTTCCAGTCTTTCCAATGATTCCGTACGCGTTCTTATCGAACCTCCATAGGTACGCACCTGCATATCAATATATAAATATTTATCATATATTTAACGAAATTTAAGTAATCAAAAACTTGGTCTTAAAGTTTCTGGATTTAAAGAGAACAAATTAGAGTGATATATTTAATCTTCAAGGAGAACCAGAAATTTTAAGAACATGCCATGTCTATAAAAGCGAGCTCCTTGCCCCACGGTCACACTTATTCAGCACCATTACCACTCCTACTGATTAAATTCTTTCACCAGTAAAATTGATGTATAGATTTTATCAATTGTTTTGATTATACGCACTGTTTACTATATATATTATATGTAACATATTAATTCCATTAAATTTCCACATTCGGATTAGGATTTGCCAACATATAATACAGATAAAACAGAAAACGTTATGAAGTATACAATACATTGGTAACTTTAACTTGAGAAGAATAGTTTTCTGTACGTTTGAAGAATGTACAACGAAACAGAAACAACAAAACTGTTACTTTTAAAGTAAATACTATAGATACACTAAATATACTGAAATATTATTTTCATATTACAGAACTCATAAAACAATTTCAATAAAAGAGTTATTCAGTAATAATTAAATACTTACAAAATAATCCGAATATGGACCTACATGGACTAGTAAAAATTGATAAAAATATTTGTAATGATACAAATATCAATTTAGATATAATATTACCAATGGCACGAAAAATGGGTGCATCACTTTATTTATTTACTCACTGTCTGTAGATTAGACTTCAGACTGTGGGTGTTGGCCACTCGCGTTCACTCGACAGGAGTTAGACTTCCGCTGCTGACTCTTACTTCTCTTGGCTCTGGAGCTGCAGGTGGTCTTCTTTCTTGCAACTGTTGTTGATTGACTCCAGTTGCATTGTGATGTCCCGACCGTGTTGCGTGATTTGCCACAACAAATTCAGTGAGAGTCACATCTGCTGTCCCGCCAGATTCAAGAGGTATAGCGTTCTGACGAAAGTGTTCGAGCATATCGTAGATAGCGGGAAAACAAAGATGTTGAACACGGCAGTGTCCTTGATCGTTTAACGTCATGCGTAAATGCTACAATATAAATTAAGAATGATCGCATTAACGGATCTTTATTCAATTTGGCGTAATAACTTACCTTTGCTCTGCCTTGGAAATTGAAAGTTAATACAAACTCCCCTTTCCTCGTCTCACTTTGCCGAACAAGAAATATACCATGACCATTGGCAGCACTATGTAAAACAAGCTGCGTTGCATCTGACCTAGGAAGGGTTCCATGAAACCAAGGATACTCTTTTAAACTATTAGATAAGTCCAGTTCACCGTCATTTGTATTCACTGCAACAGAATTCAGTTCTCTAATGTGCAGAATATGCAGTATCATATTCGAAAGAGCCAATCTATCTTACATTGTTCAATATCTTGTTGGGATGAACACAATTCCAAATTACTTGTACTTCTTGTACGAAGTCTTGGTGGTATTTCTGGAGGATTACCCAATGTTTCATCCCCCTGATCGTGGGGTGCAGATCTGGAACTCTTACTCGCAGAATTAGTTCTTAATCTATCTCCTTCGCTACCAATAGTTAATGAACCATGTCCTAAAGAATCCCCAGTGGCATCTGTTCCAGAACTGGGATTCATTGCATTTTGTTGAACTGTGCGCATGCAGTATTTGATAGTAGCTAACCATGATCTCATATCATTTGAATCATGAGCTTCTATCACGAATTCCATGTTTTGTGTTTTCAAAACAAAGGTATTCTCATGGTCTGGCATTTCTAATGCAGTTGTCTCTCTGGCCTCAGTTATCGCAGAACAGAAGACACCACTGCGTGGTTTTACTGCTTTTGGAGGAGAATAAAATTCTAACATGTATCCACCGATAGCTTTTATCAGGGCAAGCCTTGATTTCTCCCATTTCTGAGTTCCATCAATATTCTCCCCCATCAGAGAATTAACAACGCCTTCCTTCCTACATTCCACCACGATTTTTGAAAGTTTAGCTTTCGAATGCTTGTCTCTACGATATTCATTATGAGACAATTCCACTTCATCGCTTTGCTGCTTGTGGAATAAACTTTTACCCTTCTTAAGCCCTTTAAAGGATAACCGACGAAAAAATGGCTTGTGTGTTGGCTTTGGCGATATAGCATCCCCATCTTGTTCAGAGTAATCACTGAATTCTTCATGGGATGATATACGTATAGGGGCATTGTTATTCTGGCTTATAACATTGACATCTCTATCGTTAGTTGCTCCGTGTCTTGTGTCATACAGGGAAGGAGATCTATGGAGGATAATACACAAATAAGAATTGAAAAAAATTTCAGGGAAAGTGATGTTTTATTTAGCGAGACTCTAGCACACCTAATCGTACGACGCAGGTACTCGCTCTCGAAGTGTTCGCAGAAGCTTTCAATAAACTTCTTCAGAAAGTCACGGTGCGAGAGATTCGACCTGGCGCTCTCAGATAAATTTAAACTGACATAAGTGCAAAAAGCCTTGGCAAAATCAGAGGCCGAAGCGCGGGCGTGTCTCTCACAAAATTCTATCCAACCAGGTGCAGTTTCGGGCGACACGGCAACCGCCGGCGCCGTTGTTGTTGTCGACGTAGCCGTCGTCGTCGTCACTGTTACCGCCGTCGTCGTCGTCGCCGTTGTTGTTGATATTATTGTATTCGTTGTTGGTGTCGCCGCAGTTATGGTATAAACACTCATTACCGGCGTATGCCTCACCAAGGGGGCTAAAGACCTCCCCCTGCCACTACAGAACCACCGCAAAACTCTTAACACAATCGTAAAACTGTATGTATAGAAGGCACGCGCGCATACATATACGGTTGTATATATCACACACTTCCTCACATGTACACGGACTAAGCGTAAAGCAGCTAATTGTTATTTTAACAGTGCTCTTATGTGTACATCAACGTAGCTCACGAACGCAATGAAATATACTTGCTTTTAAGCGAACACGAACAGGTACCGTCCCGTCAAAGTAATTGACCTTTCTTTCCCTTATCACTGTCTTCTTTTTCTTTTGCCAACGAATTTTCCGAGGACGATCAGCAATTACTCTAACCGATCACGGATACCTTATGCATCCTCCGTAGTTCTAGTCGTGCAACCGGCGTCTGATTCTCATAGTTGATTCTTTGAAATTTTGCGTAACCGTATCTTTGTTTCGCAAAAATATTTTTACCGACATTATGAAATATGGAACCGTTAAAACCACTAGCGCGATCTGTATTCTGTATTGCCTATAGCGTAATACGTGCGAAAATTCGTTTGCGGAAAAATGTCAACAAACATGGCAGTTTTACAACTACCAGCGAATTTCAGTGACTCGGGGATTGGGTGATAAAGGTAAAGAGGAATTGTCGTTTTAACAAGTAACTTTATTATTTACAATATCATGTCATGAATAATTGATTAACAGGCAGTGGTTATTAAATTTTGAATAACACCGTTGACTCTTTATCTGTGATTACTCGTATCTTCAGATCTTTGTTCAATTCGTATATAATATATCGTAAACTGGTTTTGGAAGATAATCGCTACATATTGCCTGTATTCGTTCTTTCCGTGATACCGGCGTATACCTTCTCATTGGAAAAGTTTTCACCACACCGTCCGTTAAAGCCCTGGTTACTGGTGTTAAATCTGCTTCTGGTCCTTGCGTGTACTTTTCAAGAGCTAACATTTCTTTCTGAAACAATTCTTGTCCATACTCTTTACGGGTTTGAGGATCTAATTGAGTCCACATCTCTCTGGCTTGTTCCAATAATGAATTATTGTCTTTTAACCAAGCATTGCCAGATATGTATTCGCTGGTTTCAACAATAACCACGTCTACACCCCATCTTCTCATTTCTAATCTAAGGCAAGCTCCCCAAGCTTCAATTGCAGCCTAATGTTAAGTAGATGTATATTTAAGACATTTTGTTAAAACAGATATGAAGTACATATTATTATATTTAAAGCAATTTACCTTAAGTGCACAGTAAATGCCTCTAACAGGGCTTGGTATACGAGCTAGAAGACTGCTAACCAGAACCACACGTCCTTTTGATCTTCTGATCAGAGGTAAAAAGACCTTTGAACAAAAATTATTAATAATATTCATTGTCAAGGCTATCTTTTAAATATAAAGTAACTGATCTGATAAGATTACCTGAGTTAATCTAGCAAGGCCAATGAAGTTAATATCTATACTGCGTTTTAATACAGAGGGAGGTACCCATTCGCATTCACCTAAAGTTACCCAAGCAGCAGCATGTACCAATGCCCATAAACCTAATATAAGATATTCATGAGAAATACATGGTGGAAATACAAGAATGAAACCATGGGAAAGTATAATTTTGAACCTGGTGCACCATCTGGCAAGTTCTCATTTACATAAAGAAATATCGTATGAATGTCATGTTCACTAGTAACATCTAATTGCAATATACGTAATCTGCCAGATGCTTCTTGCTTCAATTTCTGCATTGCTTCCTCATTTCCATCCTTTGTGTTAAAACCAGCGAAAACTGTAAATCCCTTTAAGAATATGTACTGTGTGTATAGAACATGTACTGAGATTAACTAATTGTAATTGTAACACGATATGTATAAAATACTCTTACCAATTCATCTAACTGTTTGCTTAAAGTATATCCAACTCTCGACTCGCATCCTGTAATAAGAACTGCCTTCCCTGCAGCAGTTACCTGTATCATTCACATTTCTATCAATATCGTAAAACGTACATCTAATACGTATCGTTGTGCTATTATGTGTTAGAATTAAAAAGTGACTATCGATGTAATTAAATAAAGTTAAAATGTTAGTTTCTATTAAAGTAGACGTATAAGTGTGATTACTCACCTTTAAGTTATGGTAAAATAGCGTGGATCCTATGGATATGACCAATAATAAGAGGAAAAGCACAAAACTGGAGGTTTGAGATATACACAACGTGTTAAGTATTGTTGCTAAAATGACTGCAATTGCATGTGAGAATGCAATGGGGAGGATGCATCTTTCTGCTAATTCCCATGTTTGACTGTCGTCCGGTTCTTTGCTTCCACTTGGTAATGGCATTTCTGTTTTAATATTGACGGTACTTTAAAGAAATTTAATTGATTCCATTCAAATTCGACTTGTGGCTCAGCTAAGAGCCCTAACTGGGCTAACTCTGAGCTAACTTTAAACTTAAAGTGGTATCTAGTCTCATTGATCTAAATTTAACAGCAGTGCTGTGTCTTAAATTCACAGATCCTAGTTAAATTACACGTTTTATATAAAATTTAATTATACTTTGGGTGAATCAGAGACTACTTTTCTATATTGTCCTTTGAATAACATTTATTTTGTCTAATTATACACGTGTCTAATTACCTTTATATGTCTCATATTACATAATGCATGTCTTATGTCCTATATTAATCCAGCAGAAATATTGTACTTACACATTAATTTTTATATGTAAATGAAATGTAATATATATAAATTAAAAAACATTGTTTCTAAACATATGTATTCTTTTATATTCATACATGTATTCACGTCCTATCAAATAGTAATTATGAGAATTTGTTACATTTATTTAAGATTATTTTTTGATCAATTTTTATAATAATTTAAAAAACAAATATTTCACATTGTTTGCATTACGTGTAATACCTGAAGGAGCAATAAATGAATATTTAAAAAGCGATCAAAAAGAAATGATAAATCAATGTATGCCGTATATTTGAAATATATTTAATGATATCGTTAATGGAAGTATTTTCGAGCTGCAGTGTAAACAATTCGTTTGACGATGATAAAAAAATGAATACTAGAGGCGGGGTGGGTTATTGATTTCTGTGTGGGTGCCATGTTGGGAGGGAATACCATGGAGGGTGTCTCTTGGACATACCATACGCAGTAGTCTACAGAGAATATAAATAGGAGGGGTAGTTGCACCATTGACCCAGTGTTGAGTTGACATACGGTCAGTTCAGTCACTCGGGCTCGACCGATTTTACGCCTTTCGTGTTTTTTTAATCTGTGTACGCGAACAATTATTATTAACGATCGCGGTAAAAAGAAAATCACTTTTAAACACCAACGACCTGATGCAATCCAAAACACTGCCCTTTCTTACGTATCCTCGAACCGTGCAACTTTACATCCGGATCATCGGCATGCACCTAGTGCTTTAACTCTTCTGCTGAACGTTTTTCTAATAAAGTAAAGGCGAACAGATATTTGTGTGACAACTGCTTGTTCAAAGATATCGGCAGCATTGAGGAAGTCCAATGTGCAACGATAATCAGGCCTTAATAGCTGTCAATTTTTTTGAAGGAAGCCGATTTTTGATAACTTAAATTTCGTACGGTTGATCGACGTTTGATCGCAATAAATAAATACAACAGCCGTGCAAAAGCTTCTTCAAGAACGGTTCTCAGATTCTCCTTTTAATTGTGATTTAAAGCAATATGTCAGAAACAGCGGGAATATCTCAAGGAATAGGCAATCCTTACAAAATTGTCGATCATGCCAGAGAAAAACGGAAAGGAATCACTGCTTCTTCCTTAAAGGAATTAACGAGCATCGCAAGAAATCGCTTGTCTTTACCATTGGATGCAGAACTTACAATTGTTTTGGAACAAGATGGTAAGACAGCACCTATTGTTACTACTTTTATAAATTTGATGAATAAACTAATATAGCTCTTCATTGTGTTTTCCAATAGGAACAGAAGTAGATGATGAGGAATACTTTGCAACGCTGGAAAGAAATACTAGTTTAATGGTTTTGCATGGAGATCAAAAGTGGGTGGCAGCAGGAAGCAGTAAAGCTGCTTCTCGTTATATTGTTGTTGACGATGTAGATAATGTGGAAGCTGGACAAAGAAGGGATGAAGTCAGGCGGCGCAGACCACCGATAGAGACATTGGTCTCATCGTTGCATGGAGATCCATCTCGTATATCTTTGCTTGATGGACAAAACTTAGAATTACTAAGTGACATGGATCCGGATAGTGTAGCTGACATAGTGTCCGGCAATATGTAAGTATGCCTAATTGTATGTAAGAATTAACATTGAACAGGGAGTGACAATTGGTGATCTTGTTTAAGAATCTTCTTGGAACAATTGAAAGAAGCTTCAGGCAGATTTTTGGCTGAGAAACGACAAGCCCAGGGATCCTTGGATGTTCTTCAGATGTGTGCAAGCGGTGGCGAGATAGAGCGAGCGTAGGCCATGTGGGGGGTGGGCGCCCTCACATTGGCTAATATGTACCGTGTGCGACGTCGCATATTTTATAAAGGTCGCCAACTGCAACAAACCTTGGTCCTTTTCTGGAATTGAGCCCATCACATTTATAGCGCAAGAGTTGACTGCGCTGTCTTCTTACCATCGCAATTATAACATTGTTCGCGAAAACTGGATGTTCGCATCGTTAAAACGAAAAATCTCTGAGATTTACTTTCATGCAACATTCCACGCATTTGAAGGATGCAACGATGAGGAGAGACATGTAAGAGTTAATGAATTCGTATTAACGACGAGTGGTCGAAACGTTTGTTTCGAAAGTATCGAAAAATATTTATTAAATATGCGAACGTTTATATTTATTAGCAAGAAAGAAGTACATTGAAAGTTGACGCTTGTTCAGATCATGAGTTAATACCGCCGATAAGAGATAGATTTACTTTCTGTTAATAGTAACTTGATTTGTTGATTTTTTATTGATTTTATACATGTTTATAGTACATTAATATACATTTCGGATGTTATTTATTTTGTAGAATATGACATAAGGAATTGCTTTAACGCAAAATGAGGTCTTAAATAACACACGCATAGTTGGAGAAATGCAATTTAGTCATTAAATAATCTGAATGTACTACATAAACAAAAGCTATATAGAAATATCATGTCAAAGAAAACATTCCGTCACGATGTTGTCATATCAGTATTAGCAGAAAGACGACACGTTTTGTTCATGGACTTTTGTATGTAGATATTTTACACCAAGGTTTAGTTCAACGAAGATCGATGAAATGTTTAAGACTGAATTTATAGAGAAAGAATGCATCCCCATTACAATCACCAATTCATTGTACACTAAATTTAGCATGGTACATAATAGGAAAAAAAAAACAATATCAACTCTTTGATACCAAAGTTGTGCATTTGATAAGAAAAACCGCAGAAAAAACGAAAGAAAATGTACAGGTGTTTCTGAAAAGATTATGCATACGCAAAGTAACGTATATATTGAAATAAAGTTTCTCAGTATGTCTATTACGAAGATAAGAGGAAATCAATTTTCTAACATTCTAAGATATTACTCCAATTTACATCGTCTATGTAACGATGTTTATTGCGGGTCTTGAAAGAAGCAAGTTTAAACGCTTATGTTCATTCTTTACAGAAACACTTTAAACGGAACATCGTGACATTCTTTGATATATACCATAATGTCTGTATGCTAAAAAATAATGTTTACATTTACTGTCATTTGGATATTTAAAATGCAACGATCAGTATAGACAAATTAATGATTAATAGCATCCAAATGTATCAGTAATTATAAATTTGTTCTGTATGCCAATTTCTAATGATCTTTCTTTGAATGGAACGTCGAACAAGGTAATATTTTACTTAAATTTTGAGAGGTATTAGAAAACAGTTGATATATTTAATAGAACTGCCAATTAAAGAATACAATTCAATGATGCTCAATGATAACCCACCCACCATGTCCCTTAGGAACACTGATTTTTAATATTGATATATTTAACACATTACACCAAGGCAGTATTGCTGTTATTAATGTTATTATTATATTATCATGTCCATTACATATTTGAATAACCATCTTATATTACAAAATATATTTACATAAATTAAGTTTTAACAGAGGATAAAAAGTTTCCATCTATTAGCTGATGCAAGGCGTTGGAAGTGTCCCTCGTTCGATTACTGGCGCTTCGTAATTGAGAAACAGCTTCCTGGAGGATGAGTTCGCTTCTTAGCAGTTGTCTATTTACAGCTGATAATTCTTGAGTAGCATTGTCAACCGTTCCATCGACCATTTGCATAATATCCTTATCCAACGTTTCATTGCATTCATCTGTTTTATTATAAAACATGTCTATTGAGATATCGAGCATTTTTTCTTAAGTGAATCATATAGGTACTGTACATTATTTGTATGTATAAAATACTCAGACTACTAAGCGCTCTAAATAATTACGATTTTAGCCGAAATAAAATAAAGTAAAATAAACTTAAGTCTGATACAATATTTCAATTGATTCTGGTGATTATGTTGTCACATATTTCCCCGCATCAAAATTATTAGAATACTTTAGCAATAGCAATAAATATTGTATTATAACAGTATTAATAAAATGTTGACAAAAGCACGTCTCTTTCCAATGTGTGTCACGATCATTGTTAGCTGAACTTACGTAATTTTTTGTGTAGCAAGCTATTGTACTTTATAGTACACCTTTTTGACTTTGGAATTTTTGTCTCTGGAATGCATGTCATAGCATCGACTGCACCACTTACACTACTCAAACTTGTTCCATCTAAGAAGAATTGAGAGATTAGAAAAAATATATTGCCACACAGTTGTAAAATGCTTTTCAATCCTTACCATCATCAGATTCTGGAGCTTCACCAGAAATAATTGTACCACAGTAATTGGAAGCTCTTATAGAACGAAATCCCATACCCTGTAAAACAAAATTATAATTACTCATTCCTCTATGATATAAAATGAAATTGATGTAAATGAAATTCATGTACATACAGTGATAATGCTTGCACTATCATCGTCAGATTCTGGTGCCTCACCCGACACAACGACAGCTTTTAAATCCATACTGCAAATAAATTTAAAGTTCCTCCAGCTTTTATCAATCTTATTCCTTCATTAACTATCGTTAATCTGTTACATATGAAAATTAACCTAACCTAAGTGTCTAGTCGCGATTGCGATGCTCCAATAAACCGAGTTATCAAGTGCATCGATTAACTATTACTTTACAATACATTACATTTTTGCAACATCGTGCGAAAATAATCAGTGCGAAAGCTTAAATGCTTAGTTAGCATTTCTGCACGCACTATTTAACTGTTTATATATAACCACAATCTGAAATCGTACACGCACAAACCTATCTTGAAGTATTCTTTAATGAATAAACGAGAGGACTTAAATATTATCAGTGGTACAGTAATTTATTTCTTATTACGTTGAATACTACTTTAAATTGGTATTTTTATTTTTACATTAATATGTACAGGATACAAAAATAATTGTATTTACATAAATCTTCAGCTAAGGAAATATTTAAATAATTACGTCTGAAGATTAACCACGTAAAATGTCTAATTCCTCTGGTGTAACATGCATTCTGAGTTCCTTCTCTCTTATCACATCTTGGACTTGCGTGAGAACTTGTGGTGCAACCTCAGCTGCATCGATGTATATACTCCTGGCCCAAGGGCATAATACAACACTTTCGTGATATATTTCTTCTCCTTTCTTTTCACATAAATTATACTCTCTTAGAAGGAGCATATACAATCTCCATAACAAAGGACAGTTTTTGATCTTTGGTATCCTGAAAGATAAAATTTTCTTCAGTTTTATACACCCAATGCAAAAGTTATAAATAATCCATCTACTACCAATGTACCTTGCAAGTGTCTGGTGCAAGTGCATCAATTTATTAATTGCAGCGTTCATACTAACATAATCCTCGAGCTTTTGTAAGTAGCGAATACGTTTTCTATATGCCAAACACAAAGCAAAAGCTTTCCATAATTGAAGTTTGGCCACTTGACTGTTACTTTTCCAAATAGGCAACTTACTCTGTCAAAATAACATAGTATATAAATTTATGAAATCGAGGATCATTCCTTGTTAATGTCATTGTTTTTACCTCTATACAAGCCAATACTGAAAGTGCGTAAAAATTGTTTGGATATAAATTTAACATGTCATCCAACCCCGTTTTTAAAAGGCTTTCGTTTCGGATTAGTTTGAAGTGTAATTGTGTAAGCGCTAGTTGACTTTCTTGCAATATTTCCTGAAAGAATGTGATACATAAAATACGTTGTTAAACTTAGATTGGAGACAGTGTACACAAAATTGCAATACCTGTATATATTGACAATCCTTATAATGATCTACACAGTTTTTAAAGATACTGATCGCTCTATCGAAATCGGAATCTCGTACATATAATAAGTATGCATAACAAACAATTGTATCGCAGTGGAGATTTGGTAAGAAATATGCATCTTCTTCATTCTCTGGACAAGCTACTTCCAAAAAACTTTGCACACATTTCTCTAAATATTTTTCCACTTGTGATAATGGATCTGCCTCTGCTTCGGGCACCATTTGTTTCATAACATCTAATATTTTCGTTTTGTTCGTTTCTTCGTAAGTTTCAACGTTGAGTAAAGTTTCTGCCAATGTTCGATATAAACTTACAAGAGCTGACCTTTCGTCAGGATTATGAATCGCGGAAGGACATGCACCCTGAGACTGAATAGCAGTCTGTAAAATATTCACACAATTATCAAACTTCCCCATTTCTTTTTCTATCAACGCATATTCTCTATAGAAATGTAAGTTATTCCTATTCTCGTCTTTTTTTAAGAATACTTTTAGCGTTGTCTTCAGCTTTTTCAATTTAGTATCGTTCATATTTAATGGATCGTGTTTTTGCAAAAAGATAAGCAGTCTCTCGAACCGTAACCACCAGACGAATATACTCGTACGTTGGAGAGGTGACAAATTCTCGGCGATTGTAAAGAATATTTCACGTATAAAATCCAAATATGATTCTTGAGCTGGATGAAACATAAGGTATTGAGGACCCGATGTTAAACGTCCTTCCAGTAGACCGCTCAATAATTCTTGTCTTTCGCTACGTCCGGTCATCTCACCTATCATGGGATAGGCAAAGGGAAGTAATACCTCTGAGGTTTCTACACCCCATTCAAATTCCTCTAGCTTCAACGTCCTTAACATGTAATCCCGAGTAGGTAACAATGGTACTTTGAGTAAAAGTAACACATGAATCGCCATCCGGAAATTCAAATTTCTTGAAAGTATAGGATGAACGAAATCTGCGACATCATCCGGTAGAACGAATCTCCGGGAATCACCAACTAATTCTAATTCGCTTCTATTAACGCTGATCCAATGACAGTTCTCTCTCAATGATTCTGTTCTTTGCCACAACTGATTAAGTGGTAATCTAGACATCAGTATTACTTCTTCCATTCCAATTAATTTCTTTTCATCTATTGTTTTTCGAAAGGTCAGACTGTCCTTGTTCAAACTAAGATTTAGAATGACGTTCAGGCGCATTGTTTCCCACATTTGTTCCCAAAGCCCAGTATGTCTTAAAAATGTTAGACACCAGTACAACATTTGCAATAGACATCCATCGTAGACGCGGGGATTGGTTCTAGCTTTCTGTTTCAGAATGCAGAAGCATTTTGAATACAGATCTAACACTTTCGGTACTGTGCACATTGCTACAGAAGTTTGTACGGTCATGATAAATTCTTGCCATAAAATAATGCTGCCTGAATTTTTGTTAACTAATGTTTCAAGCTGTTTCGAAAGTTCATCTGCAGGTGAAAGTTCCCCCATGAGAGACAACTTGACTTTTAATAAGATCGTTGAATCTGCGTTCTTTTCCAGGGCTTTTTCAACTATAGATAACTTTCTTAATGTCGTAGCTCTATGAATATCCTTTGCTGTTTGATACTGCTGGAAATATCCTAAAGTGTCCTGCAAATAAAATCTCTGTATATAAGAATACTGAATTAACTTTACCTTGAAATAAACATACGACATACTTGAAATTCTATGAACTCAAGCCACAATGTAACGTCATTTGGATTATCTGTTAATTTTTCATTATACTCTTTGGTCTTAGCTTTCTGTAATTCCTCCAATTTGATATGCCATAGAGGAGTATATTCTTCCTCTTTAGATAAATTGGTGGTAGATTCTCTGCTTATAACGGGATCTTTCTTTTTCTTTTCTACATGGTCAATATTCTTTACGTAATATCGTTTGTAGTTAATTTTTTTCGATTGCTTGTAAGGTATGAAACCAAGGGTACTTTTCTTAACATCATAATATGGCCTAAGCCTAGAATTAAGTGTCTTTACAGTATTATATCCTCTCTCTCTATATTTGTCCTCAAAGTATACATTTTCTACATTCTTTCTGTATCCTGACTTCTCTAGTTTTCCATGTACATCTTTTCTTTTATCTTTTCGTTTCTTTTTAATATGTCTGGATTTTACTTTTTCCTCTAATACAGGCTTTCCTTTATCCAAAGAAGTAGCAGCATGCGAAGGTTCTTCTTTAGGTAAATAAGGAATTTCATTTATAATTTCATCTGATGATTCAGAGGATAAACGAATGAAATTATCAGATGTAATTTGTTTTGAGCAACTAGAATTGTATAACCAATTGGTTGTGTCATTTTCTGTAAGTAAAAGAGATTACTAAATTGAGTGAACAATATTATAAGTAATATTAATGGATAGATTTATAATTAAATAACCTTTTGACAGATCTTTTGGTTCGTTGGATTTATTTGTGTTTGCAGAATAAGCTGGAAACAAAGACATGCTCTCTGAGATTTGTGTTACAATTTAATAATTATAAATAAATTATATTTCGTTCTTTATTTAAATTTTTCTCGAATTGTTTATAAGTATATTCAACTGTACAAATCTTGTCAAAACAAATATGTACGTATGTCTATGAAACTCTCACAGCCACAGCGGCCACAGCTATGGACCTGAAGTACGCAGCTTATAACATTTCGCGGGCTATTTTGAATCTGTTGCACCCGTGCAGTGCAGTTATGTCTGTGTCGATAAGATAGAAAATGACTCTCAAATCATAAAAATTTCTTGCGAATTACAAAATGTCATTCTCGCAATCATTTTTATGAAATCATATCTATTTTCAAATTCAAGCCAATTCGAAGGATTTCGATGACATATCATTCGTAGATAAAATCACGTCAGTTAAGTTTGGTCAATGCGTTATCCGTTTTACTGTAGTGTGGCGTTAAAATGAATAATCGGTAGGAAATGAAGAAATGTGATTCTTCTGATTATTAATTTAGTTAAGTACTATAAATGTTTTCTAATATTTTTATGTTTCCCTTTTTTTTTCAATACATGTATGTCTTGTGGAAAATATTTTTGAACATTCATGGACGTTTAACAGATACGTCTCGACTCGATATTGTCGATTAAATGAGGCACGAGCACGATAGGTCTGAATGAAACTCTCCATTTGAAAATGAAATGAGAAACAGAATGCAGTTATGGGATTAATTTCGAGCACGCAAACGTGAACAATAACCGTAACCATCATCATCGAATATTTTCGGCGGAGGTGGCAGATACCGCGGTCGGTGATAGGGTTCAAAGGCGTGCAAGTAATTTGAGGCTTTATTGCGGAAAAGCTCGGTAATTTTACGAGTTTTCCACGGAGGCGAATTAAGATTTGCATAACGTCGGTGCGCCGCTCGGACCTAAGTGTCGAGAAATGCAAATGTAACCCGCTCCGCGTGCTTAGAACTTTTCCCTTTCCTTTCCCTGATTCCATCGTGCCTCTTCTCCTCCTCCCCGTCGTCGACCGTTACGACGACGAAATCGTAAAGAATGCCGAGAAAGCGTCGGGGGACGAGCTTTTTATGATATTAGGCGGACTCAAAGCCTGGATCTTCTTCGACTAAAATTGCTGCGCGATACAACTTTGTCTCCCGATGGAACGAACAAACCCTTTGCTCACTTATCTCCTTTCAGCCTCTGTTCTCCCCGAGTTTTCGCCGTTCCGCACGCGCGACAGAAAATTGGGACGAAATTCGATGCTTTCTACAACGCGGCACAATCTTGGCTTTATCGTCCGCGGCCTGTTCACCAGTTTGAATCGCGCATTCTCCCATGCGGAAATTACAATAGAGCGGGTTATCGTTCGGACCGTTGTATTACCAACGCTGTCAATTCCTTCTATTATCGTTAACGCAAAGTGGCCGCTTTACCTCAGTCGCACGTTATTACATTAATAACAGATCAATACGCGCGTTTAATCTACTCATCGAAATTTGTTTCCGTTATCGGGTAGCTTTCGTGTATAGCTTGATCGTTTTATCAAAACAAATTGTATGACGTTATAAACGGTTTTCTTTATTGTTCCAAACTATTTTGGACAACTTCTAATACTGGCAGTAAATGACGCCAGTAAACGTATTCTTGGAAAATCGATCTTCGATGAAGGAACGTGGGTTGATCGGGCCACGCAATGCGGCAACATTCCTCCGATACACGTAGCTAACTCGGTATCCAAGTGAGGATGATAAAAAGTAAAAGAAATAAAACGGAGGTGGTAAAGCTCTGTGCGAAAGTACTGTGAGGAAGTTAAGGGAGTAAGGGTCGCCGCGGTGGTACCGTATTTACAGTATATTTTCGTTTCGCCTACGGGCTGGTCAAACGTCAATTCAACCCCTGTGTATTCCCGGCACGCCGCAGAATCAGTGGGCCGGGATGGTGTATTTTTCGCGAGAAATCTCGTGTTCGAATAAAGTTGGTTATCGCACGACTCAGCGAACGCAACGCGACTCGGTTCAAACGGGATCGAGTTTCCTTTCGTCCCTTTCCACCCTCGATTTTCAAAACTCCACGCGTATTAGATCGGTGCAGCATATGAAATGTTCTCTACTGACACAGCAGATAATCCTGTAGAATAACAGTAAGGATTTCTATTCAAATTTCTCATATTCCTAAATAATGAAACAGTTTCATTATTCTACGTGCATTAATTATAGTACACAATCTTAATTACGTTATTAAAAATACTGCTTGTCTTATGTAAGTACGCGTTGGTTACAGTTCGGAATGCTAACGAGGGCATTCGAATTATTAAATTCGGTGTGATGTATGAGGTCGGTGTGATAAATTCAAATTTTATTGAATTATACAGTGTACCGGCGAAGATCGTTTAAAGTACAAGCAAATGCTTTCACGATCGAATTCGCCGCGTGGTTTCTGCCAGGACTCGTCGCTCCTGTTTGCGCATAATAAATATTTATAAGATGGGACCGACAGGCAGCCGGGGAGACGGATACCAACCGGAGGAATACGATCCCGTTTCTCGGTCGGCTCCTTCGCGAACAGTGTTAATTTCAACTTTCATTGACGCGTCTCGCGGAAATTAATTCATTTTTTCTCTTTAGAATCACAGGCTTTGACCTACGACTGCAAATACACCCTTTGAGGCTCTACTCTAACGCGTAATCGGGTTACGAGGGAAACAGGGGTAAAAACGGTTCACGTTGCGAAGTGAACAAAGCGCAAAGGGAAACCAGATTCCTGTTGGCTAATTTCGAAGTATAAATGCGTCCAATTGTGAACTAATAATTGATCGTAATCGCTGTGCTAAACGCGGCTACGGTTCGATCATCTAAAATCAGGATTGTCAAATACCTGGTAACACGGCTGGTCCACTTTAACGTTAATATCGATGCGGTTACCTATGCAAATTATGGTTACATCCAGCTACAATCCTGCTGGTCTGCGCGTAAATTGCAATTGCGACGTGGTACTGAAAGATTCAAAACAATGAAAGCTTTCGCTAAATCAAATTACGAAAGATTAATAACTTCACATTTTTCGAATCGTATTATGCAAAAGGTATGTGTCAAATTAAATGGTGCATTTTATAACTTGTTGCGTCCGACACTTTACATTTGTCGGGTACATACGCGTGAGAGGAATGAAAAATCATGAATCATTAACTACTAGACTGCGAATTTTATGCATTTATTGCAAAATTGAGTATGTTAAAAGCGTAAAAAACATGTGGATAAAAGCGTATGAAGTATCAAGAGCAAAATGCATGTTTAAAGGATTAGAGAACATTTTTACTAAAGGTCTACACTTTTAGTAAATGAACATTATTTCTTAAACTGATGGCCCTACGAATTTTATTGTACATAAAAATCTGCATTTTAATAATTACATGCGATACAATGGTTTGTATGGATTCATTCATCGAAGTTAGTTGAATAACTTTTTTTCCATCGGGGATAGTGAATATTTTGATTAAATAGAACGTCGAGATTCGCGTACGTGAATCCTCGTTGCGTGTAATGATACGAGAGCGCTTTGTTAGCCCATCATTTACCGATATGTACATTCGATGTCGTATTGAAATTCGTTAATTATGCGCGTGTAAACTGTTTATCGAGATACGAGGAAAATCTGTCGGAAATGCTAAAATGATTGACAAGTTTCAATCCTTGTTAGATAAAAAATCATAATGAATGCTGTTCATGTGCATTATGAATCATATTCGACTACTTTTGCTTACCCATGTACATATGTATATATTAATGTATATATTAATTTCAGTTTTTGATGCGTCATATTTTTGTGAGGTTGTCAGAGAAAGGAACATTAACAATACGTTATTGGATATTTGATTTATTGATCTTATTAACAATCGGGGTAGGACAGATGGCTGTTAACTTAATTGAAAACGTAAGATCTCGGGCGGAGCGAAAGATTTACGACTTGTTCGTTTGTCGTGACGATTTGTCTTTGACTTGTACGTTGTCATCCGTTGTCGCAGAAATTGCGAACAGCATTAATCGTAGATGCACCTGTGCTCCGTCGAGGCAGATGAGACGCATAAGGCAGGGCTTAAAAAGATCCTGGCTGCCAACGCGGAAGACAATGGCTCCGAAAACGTTTAATACCGCGGGGTTCCGTATGGGTTCGCTGCGCGATATGATTTATCGTCCCCCAAGATGCGTAAGAATATAATGCTAGTGATTTATCGTTCCATTATTCGGTCTCCCGGTTAGTAGCCTTGCGTTTACGACAAAGTGGCGAGCTGCTTTAGTTTCGTGTCGGCCGTAAATCCCTGAAGAGGCCCGATTTTGTGCCAAACGTATTCCGGCATCGTCGAGATCAACCTCGTTTCCCTAAAAACCGGAGATGGAGCAACGGCGTTGTCGTTTGAACGTTGCGCATTTAACGAAACGAAGGGAAACCCAGTTACCTAGTTGCCATTCCATTTCCCTGTTTCCCTCTTCAGCTGGAAATGTTCTTTTGTCAAAGCGGAGGCTTGTAATTGCGTTCTTACGATTTTCTACTTTTTTCCACGTTTCCGTCTCCTCCTCCTGATACGCACTTTCGGTACAATTATGGGCGGGGGTGGCCCCGGTTCTGGTAAAGGAATGTAATTTCGCGGTGCTTTAAATTCAATTTCGAGCGTATTCTGTACATCCTCGTTGGGCATCACGTGCCTTCTGGACTTCAACGATAACAGTTCCTCATCGGCAGTTTTCCCCGGCGGACGCTTTTCCGGTATCACGTGCACCTTGGTGCACCCAGTCTTGCATTTTTGACCTGTGCGAACATTTAACTAAACAGTAAATTGACGCTTTCTTAAATTGTTCAACGTACCTTCTGAATCCGTGCAATTAAAATCGAAGCTCAGTCTCTCCTCGTCTCTCGGGTCTGGATCGATTCCACAGTTTTTTGGTATTTTCACGGATATCACGTTGTCGTCGACTTCGTGAGTCAGCTCGTCGTACGGTGGTTCCGCGGATGGCAACGGACACGTCGGATGAAGACATATCGGGCAGATACATTCGTTATCCGTCATATTACATATCCGGTGTGTGTTGATTTTTTTTCACATGCGACGTCTTTGTGGTCGCTGCGGTGGGTTTCCTCTACAATTTTTCAATATGTTAACTGGCCGCCATTTCGTCGAAATATCCGAAGGCAGCTGCGGTTGGAAATTGAAACTTGTTTTCGATGACAAAATTCTTTTTCTGTTCTTATTTCATTCGGTGCTTGTTGTAACTTGATGAAATTTCCGAAATCGAAATTTTATTAAATTCAGAAGGAGGAGGAGGAGAGTTGATGAAATTTTCCATGTTCGGAGTGGGTCGATAAATTGAAGTCAGAATTAGCGCAGTCGACGGGGGATCAAACGCTTGTTGCGAACCTGTCTTTCCCAGCCCGGAATTCTAATTGGAATTTGGTTGTTAAACAGAGACAAAATTTCGCTGTCTTTTGCCGCGGATTACTACCAAAAATAATATATTGGATGCTAACGCTTGCGCGCGGTGAATATAAAATTCCAGAGCAAATACGTGCGCTCCCGTCCAGAGGTCATTCGCTAATTAATAAAAAATCACAGTGAAACGCACAACATTCCCATAGGAACTATATATGTTAAAAATTGCTCGCTACATACTTCTAAACGGAAACATGTGCAAACATAAAACTCGCATTTAATTGGGTGTATGTCTGAAATTAATTTTTAATTACCATCTGACAATACGGTGTGTGAAAATGTTTGTTCAGTTTATACGAGTCTCTGTAATTGAAAGCCGGTTTCAAGCAATAACCTCGTTTAATATACGTGTACGTATTTATGTTAGTAATATTCGCTTTAAAAGAGACATCACTGCTTTCGCGTGTATTTTTTTGTAGTCAGTTTTTACTGGTGGATTGCAACGCGTATGAAACATTAATTAAATTAGGTTGGTCGGAACGCTTGTATCGAAAAGATATTTAATTAAAATTTGCATCCCGAGATGATGGTTGTATCGCGTGCGGATAAACCCGTGCCCTGCGTCATCGCTGAAAACTGATTTTCAACCTCCCGATATCTTTTCACCTTTTCGAAAAGGACCGATATCTGTTAATGAAATCCACTTTGCTGTACTTCCCTTTATCGCGCGATCAAAGTTCGGGGCAACGGACTGCGATCGAATTATCGGTTTTTAAATGAAATTCTTTGCGGAGGTTCCATCGCTCCGACCACTCTTCCCCGGGAACTTTTCGCGCTAACGCAATTTTTCGTGTAATTGGGGAATTAATTTGATGAATTAAACGGTCTGCTTGGAGTTCGTTTAAGTCGTTACACCGAGTGCGCGTATAATCGTTTCAGCTCGGCTGCCTTTTTTCCTCTCTCCTTCTCCTTGCTTTTAAACGACGGCGCGACACGCTCGCTGGGAAATGGATATCGCGATGGCTAGTATCCTTTTCCCTCGACACTTATCAACGTAAGAACGTCTACCTCGCGGTTTCAGCAAATGCCGGTTTTCACTTTGTCCCTTGAAAATGTACTATACACGCGTCGAGCCACAGCGGGTAATGCACAGGTGAGAGATTCGACTGGCACGCGAGCTCGGAGCGAGCACGGTTCGCGTAATATTTTCGATTCTTTACCGTCGAAAATAGAGGGCGAAACTCAGAGGTAAGGATGAAAAAAAATCGGCCAGGAGGTGGACGATGTAGATGAGAAAGGGCTGTTACGGTTTCGCTGGGGGGTGGCGGTTCAAACGAGACAAGGGTCGACGGGACAGGATCGTTCCTTTTCTCTGGAAAATTTCTTCTGGACACGAGACCGCAATGTTACGAAAGTTTCTCGGACGTTCGCAGTTTCATTGTCTCTCGTAGCGTTTCCTTCCTTTTTTCCCTCCTCCGATTCGTCACGAGGAAGGAGCGTCATTCCGTTGAGTGCACGGATTCATATTTTACGGGCCGAGTATACAGGGATCATCGTTCGAAGATCCAACCTAACGTGTTTCGCTCTTCTTGGCATATATATCGAAAGTCTTCTCCAGCTTCCCTTGGAAGCATCAGCCAGAAAAAGAAGGTATATATATAAAACCATATTGATTATGTTATTTATTACGCGATTATAATAATTGGAAAGAATGCTATTTAATTTTTGGAGACTTCCTTTTATATTTTTTCTCGATAAACACGTTTGATTTTGGGATCTTTTCCTTTGCCCTCGCGTCGCCGTTTCACCCTCAATCAGTCTAAACGTTGAAGAAGTTCTTTTTTTTTTTCGCCAGAACGTCGCGTCACTGAACGAGTTCTATCGGTTTCCCTATCGGACATTTTAATCTTGCGCTCAAAGTGGTTTGCGGAAGGCGAGATCCGGAGTAAAAAGAGATTCGAAAATTCCATCAATCTCGCGCGGCTCCTCGTCGGCCAGCCGATATTTGATGTGCTCTGTCATGGAGATACATGCATACATATGCGAGGCGTTCGCGAAGTTGGTATGCTAATGCTATGCGGCCGCTTTCATAACGTCTCGGCAGCCCAGTGTTTTATTTTCATGAACTTGTTCCTCTTCTGTTAACGTTTTTTGTAAAAAGAATTTAAAACGGAATCCGGACTCCTCTTGAACGCGAACGTTCTGCCGTTACCACAAACGCGAGCGCGTCAAGTTGATGAAATGGATTTCTTGATTATTCGAATTTTTGTTTCGCGGCTAGGGAAAAATTGTTTTAATTAAACATCGCCAGATTAAAATTAGTTTCAGTTTTGTGCTCAATGGCTTTCCACTGGCTGGCAGAGTCGCGTGGAAACGAATGAAATTTTTACGTCAATCCGCAAACTTCGTTCATTTCAGTTTCGCGCACGGCTTATTCATTTCGAGCACTTGAGTTTGTCAAAACATAAGCGAGCTTTATTTAACCAGGTTGCGGTTCTCCAGGGTATAATATCATTGTACGTCGACGTAGCTATCCATTCTAACGGCTAACGAGGTGGTCGTAATATTGTTGCGCCGGAGTTGACAAGCACAAAACATTTTTAATGAGATATCCGAAAGAGGAGAGAACAGAGTGGTTGCCGTTTTGATTTTACTGGTACCGGAGTCTTGCTAATTTCGCGCCAACTTTTTCCCAACTCGATCAATTAAAGCTGCCCCTTCATCCGTGTCTGATTACAATAACTCTGACGTAAATTAAAAACAAGGTAATTAAAATAAATTTACCTAGTAAACTGCTTTAATTAATGTTGCCCAATCGATGTATTTGAACTTTGCAAGTAATAATCTTATAAATGTGACCAATAAATAGACCACAGATTTTTATGCAAAATAAAACTATAAGAATATCAACTTGAGAAGTGAGAGTTTAATAACAATATCCTTTAAGGTTGCATGAGCCGTAAGATCTCTGCCAAAAGTTTAAGACATGTAATAAAAAACTGTGTCCAACATTTGAGGCAATGAACTTTTAGAAAAAATGATTATTGATGAATTACAGAGTAGGAAGGTTTATAAAATTGTTCGACCTGTTTTTCTAAAATTTCTAAAATTTTGTACAATATTTTATTAATGTAATATCTAATAAATGTTGTAATTTCAATGCTTTGTCATTGTTTTTATGTAAGGGTTCATACATAATATATGCATTTTGCTGTTGATACTTTATACACTTTTACCCACTCTTTTTTACATACTTAATTTTGCTATAAGTGCATAAAATCCGGAGTGTAGTAATTAAATTGGAATAAAAATGATACAGAAGAAGGAATAAGTAGTATATCGGTTAATCCACTCTGTGTTAATAGTCTAAATGCGATTTTACGTATTTGTTATTTATTAATGTGAGCCGAGTTAGACGCGTAACGCTTGGATAGTGTAGTGAATGCTACGTGCCCAGAAATCATTGAATGATGTATCGCCGGTAATTGAGGTATCGATGTTACGCGGTATCTACTGTATTATCCAAATATATGCTCTTAAATACGTCGCTATTGCCAGCATTTACGACATACATACACCAGAATATTCTGTATTTTGTAAAGACTCCTGAAAAATGTTTAACATTTCCTAACAGTGTTCCTACTATTAATTATTCCAATTGATATAGACACATACGTATATATGTACATACACTTAGGCGTTGGGTGTTAGGGGAGAAAATGGTGGATAGACGATCGTTACATCATCGTTCGCGTAGATTAACGCGAATGCAATCCAGATTATCGTTCTGCATGTTGTCAATAAAACGCAATACGCGCGCGCGGTCTATTCCTATTAGCTGTATAGTTATGCACGTAATGTGCGTTTGCGTACATACATACATATATCGCCATTGATATTCCACCAGTTTGCACTTGCCAAATTTTAATTGCACCGAACCATGATAATGAAGATAAATTAATTAGCGGGAGATAGATAATAACGAGTAAAAGCTAGAAATTTGTTAGACAAGAAGTCAATTGTAAATCCTAATACCGAGGATTGTTTACTTTCGATGATAATGCGGAACGACTAGTCGTAATCGCATTATCGATTCCATCGGTTCAATTATGGCAGTGTTTATTTGGCTGATTACCTCGTTACACGCGCGGTTATTATTATAGGAAATTTGTCGTTCAAAAACACTTTCAGCTTTGATTACGAATTATTCTCGTTCTGATTAAAATGGTTGATTACACGATTGCGGCTGGCAGAAAATGTTCCCCGACGGGTTCATGGATCGTTCCTTCTTACACGAGACTCGGACAGCTGAAAAATACACTAGCCTCGGGGTTATTACCCGCGTTTTTCATCCGCGTCGTTCATTTACGGATCGAGACTATTGCGGCTGACTCACCATGCCGTGGAACGGTTGAAATATGCGTCGATCAGTCGAATCAATTTAATTAAGAACCTAATACATTATCGCAGACTCCGGTGCCGCGGTATCGTTTATAGGAATTTCTCAGCATCGATCAGTCGGGCACGTTCGTACCGCGTTGCCTTCAAAACCTATATTTCGGTCAGACGGCACTCCGTTTAAACGTGTTCGACATGACCCCGAGGGCATTTGTAAAGAGGAATCGCTCGCGAATGCTGTTGTCGCATCTTCCATTGACCTCGATCACTTTAACCGCTGCTCTACCCTTTAATCATTGTGTCCCGGTATTGCTTGAAAATACGGCTTAGCATCGTCGGACATTACACGGAGGAAATCTGGTTTTAATCATTCAAATTTCCTCTGTGCAAGATTAAAATATACAATTATTTTAATTTTAATTGGAAGATGGAGTTGAATTCGTTAATATTATATTACCTTTGATGCTAGGTACTTTATCATATCAGCTTGCATAAAATCCATTACATTAATTTCAAAGAAAAATATCCTTCAATTTCCGCGAGCATCGATTCATTTCAATTCGCACGACAACGAATTCGCAGTGTCTGATAATATTTCCCGTTGGAATATGTACAC